CACACACTCACACTCATACACTAACAAACATAGAATATGAACTCATACACGTGAACTCACACACACACACAAACACACACATACGCATACACACAGACATACACAAACACATACGAACACACACACACACACACACACACACACACACACACACACACACATACGAACAAGCACGGTAAATAATCACACACGCATTCTTAAACACACACAAATACAGCTCCATTATTATGTGTGTTTTCGTACGCCGAGAGCGCTTTGAATAAAACAATAGATAGAACTAATCAACACCATAAAACTCTTCACTGACCTATACGAATCAGTTCTATGATGAAGCGTGTAAATTCAACTGTTATTTTATTCTAATGCCTATCCAATGCCAAACAAAGCTAGATATATATCTAGGTGAATTATATTTCTATTCACAATACTTACATAAGCAAGAGAAATTTAATAGAGAACAAACAAACGAATAAACGAACACAACACTGTTGATCCTACACTTCCCATATGCCTTTCATTTATGTGTAACAATCAGATTCATAGCGCAGTTGTATGGGTGGATCTTTTGCAGTACTCCCCCCCTCCTACCCATCCAGCAGTAATGGGTACATGACTTCGAGTTGGGGAAGTAAAAGCGGCGTGGAAAGGAACTGGCCACCCTGCCACAATATGCCGAAGGCCTAGGAAGTTGTCTCACTAACAAGGCAATTCCCAATGTCTGGATCTGAGACGGGAACAACATTGCTTGTTGTGAAAGAGGTGCTTGAAGGAAAGATGAGGGCCAGAAGAGCCAGGAGAAGACAAAGAGTAATTACTAATTGGATGGACTACATAAAAACATGGACTGGCCTGGATATGGCCGAATTTGCAATGAAGGATGGAGGCATATTAAACGTGAACCTTCTGAGTCAGATATGACACCTCTAGGCATCCAGGTATATTTGTACTCAACACTTTCATAATAATCATATTTCAATGCCGGGAATTAGATAACGCCTGATCCCCACCACCAAACCAAATTTCCAAATCACCCGTAAGATGGTAACATCGCCCACGCTTTCAAGCAGTTCTCTGGTGCAAAGATTTTTCAATAATTATCTTTTCCTGTCTTTTAGGTCAGTTCTCTGATCTAGTTTCTTAACCTGAATCCAAACTATTATGTAAAAAATCTCAAAGTGAAAAAGGAAAAAGTTCACCTCATTATGAGACAGCAGTCCGCCTGGTGTTCTATGCTTTGTCCATTTGTCCAGACTTTTATTAAAAGGGAAGTAACCACCCTGTTATTCGAAACCGTTTTGTGGAGGCGTCACCCCGAGAGGGGGGGGGGGGGGTCGACCGAAATAATGCTTAGTGACCATAGCCACCCACTGACATCCAAATTCCAATTATCGACGCGAGGTAAAGGATACATTTCCAGAAAAGAAAGAACATACAGATAGAATTGCATTCGTACCAACTGCGGTGAGGTTACTGAACACACATTGCTACAAATGAAACACACACACACACACACACACACACACACACACACACACACACATAAACACACAGATAGATAGATAGATAGATAGATAGAAAGAGAAAGAGATAGAGAGAGAGAAAGAGATAGAGAGAGAGGGAAGAGAGAGAGAGAGAGAGAGAGAGAAGA